GAGTGCTCCACAGGGTTGGCCCAGAATCTATATTTAATTAAATTAGCGAATTGAGATATTGTACAAACCAATGATCCCTCTCCCAACAAGAATGAAATGGGATGCTTTAAAATGAAACTGAGCGAGCAGGATAGGCCAATTGGATATGGAGTTCCATGTGCTTGTTTTGCTTCACAGGCTGTCTTCACAGATTTGGAAATCCTGGCTGCCATTTTTGCAGCTGCCATCCATGACGTTGATCATCCTGGAGTCTCCAATCAGTTTCTCATCAACACAAGTGAGTTCACCACTGGAACACTCATCCAGATAATTGTATGATTCACTGCTTCATTTTTTTCCTCCTAATGTTTTCATTATGGATAATAACAAGGGTAATGATGAGGTAATCCTTCCATTCCTCTCAAACTGGTCAGGCCTTTCCTGGATACTGTGTCCAGTCTGGCAACACAATGTCTGAGTTACATGGAGAACTTGGAGAGGGTCAGGGGAGAGCCATAAAAAGTACTCAAAGTTTGGAAAATACAATATGTAAGGAAAGAATAACAGATGTGGAATTATCCAGTAAGGACAAAGAGAAGCTTGGGCATCGTGTGATAATGACTTTCAGTTTTATGCAGAGCTCTCACACAGAGCGTGGTAACCCACTAGTGTCCCTCTCTGCTGGGGAAGCAGGTACAAATGGTGGATCTGAGCATGGCAACCTCCNTGTAAGGAAAGAATAACAGATGTGGAATTATCCAGTAAGGACAAAGAGAAGCTTGGGCATCATGTGATAATGACTTTCAGTTTTATGCAGAGCTCTCACACAGAGCGTGGTAACCCGCTAGTGTCCCTCTCTGCTGGGGAAGCAGGTACAAATGGTGGATCTGAGCATGGCAACCTCCAAGCAGAAAAAAGATTCCCAAAAACCCCACTGGAATGGATTGCCACAAGTCAGAAGGAAGGGTCATTAAAAGTTCCAGACATTCTCTTCCAATTGCATAGGTTTGATTGTGGATTGGTCTGTAACGGGGAGAGTGACCTCAGTGACCTTCAGGGAGGGTCCAGCCTTAGGATCCTGAGCCTTACTCAAAGCTTCTTTCATGCTCTAAATATTTGGTTTCAATGCTAATAAACATTCATTCATTCTTTCAGTTGATGTTGAAAATCAATCTATCTATATCTATTTATCTATCTGTCTGTAAGTGCTGAAAATCTAAGTACTTTTCCTTCTGAAAATATTGGTTATCCCATTGTGGTCATGATTAGCATCAAGTGCTGATGTTTTTACAGAAATGTTGTTTGATCTATTTACTGTAAAAAAGTCCTTGTCATCAGTCCTTGTCCCTCATCATCAGAATATCTCAGTGATATAGGTTTGAGGTACACTGTTTCTTTTACCACATTCTTCTATTGAAAGAACATAAATTTTCAGTGCTACCCATCTGCCTGGATTATATCAGCTGGCATGGTATGGTGCCATAAATTAATCCATATATAGGCAAGTGAGCTTCACACAGAAAAAATGGTCTTTCTGCCACAGCCACCTATAGCACTACAACATATAAAACTTGCTTGCAGATCCATGGCTACAGTGTGAACAGAACGAGTGCTCCGAGAACTTCATAGAGCCCACTACCCTTTCTGAGGGTTTAATTCAAAGCACACCATTAAAATAATGATGCATAAGTAACAGCACCTGCAATTAGTAACATATCACCATCACTTGGCTGTTATTCTTGATTAAAGGAAGATGTGGTTTCATAAGTTTTATGATCATATTCCCAAATGCAGATCTCTGTCTAACAAAAGATGTCTGTGAGTCTGCAGCGTAAAAGGCAACCTGGAAGCTGTAGTTTAGAGATCCAGATAGTGCAGTCTGTGGTGTAGAGAACCAGAAGACAGAAAATTTGACATCAGGATTGTTTCAAAAAATTGCTAATGTTTAGTTATCATATTTATTGAAAGCTCCAAAAAGCTTCATTATTAGGGTAAAACAAAATTTTACACCATTCATTATCTTCTTCGAAAATCTGAAGCTCATAAATGCCAGAGATTGGAGAACATATAAAAAAGTTTGAAAATTTTAATACATTTGATAAACGTTAGTGGCATTTTCATTTGATTGTTTTCCAAACAACAAAATGTGTGAAGACATAAAGGAAATTACAAACTGAGATAAAAA